TAAAGTTTCAGCACAGAACCCCCAAAACACCAAAATGAATGGAGGCAGACTTCCATGGTTACTTTGAACTAAACTACTTCAAAATATGGTTTTCAGTTCATATTGATCACTTTTTGTGAAGAAGGTATTGAAATATGTGAATGTAAACATTTTAAATAAAAAAATAATGCTTTGAGCAATATATCAGAAACATGAGTTTCTGGACGCAGTGGTTAGCATTGGTGCCTTGAGTCAATTCCTTGGGGGTTATCTGCTTAGAGTTGGTATGTTCTTCCTGTGTTCACATGGGTTTCCTCCCACATTCCAAAGACATACAGATAGGTTAATTGGCTTCAGGGAACATTAACCCTGGTGTGAATACACTGTATGTGTTTGTGTCTGACCTGCAATGGACTGGCGTCCCCTCCAGGGAGTATCCGGCCTTGGGCCTGTTGCTTGCTGGGCTTAGAGGCTACAGCTCCCCTGCAACCCCATATTGGATAAAGCAGTTGCTGTAATTTGGAGTGCAGACATTACAATACAGATTTTACAGTGCCCAACTGTAAAAAGTACAATCCAATTGATCTGCTTACTGTGCACCTTCTGATCATAGAAAATTGACAGTATATTGGAAATGGAGTGAAATGGGCCCAAACAAAACAAAAACTCTAAGACTTATTTTACCTGTTTCCTACAGTATTTGAAGTTTAGTGAATCAATTTCATCTGCTCTTGAAATTGATTTGACAATAATTATTTAAAAAGAGCACAAAAGAAGACGGAAAAAATACTTTGCGTTTTCATGCGTGTGCTTCAATGAACTAAGAAACATAAGAGTTTTAGAATAGTTTCTGTCTTAAACATTCTGAAAACATTTGAAAATATATCATTTTAACTCTGTACTACTAGGTAGAGTAGGTATAAACAGTATGAAGTTCGCAGTGTGAACTTTCACCCACACCAGGAGGAGTAACATTAATTTGACTTGAGAGAAGCTGTAGCGGGTGTCTTTGCTGATTATCATGACCTACGTCCCTCAAATAGTAACACAGGAATAACTGCCAGCAATGTTTTAATTTGCAAAATCGAAACACCCACTGTATTCAAAATTTTGAATGTCTTTAAGGTAGGAGAGATCAAGTTGCAAAGATGCACACCAGTAAGAAATGTGCCCCATACTAAAAACTCCATTCTTGTTTGAAGGTATCTTGATAACTGAGAAAGATGGACTTTTTACTTTTTTTTTTTGCAAACAGATGTATTTAAACATCTGCCCATAACTGCGTACTGTAGAGGTAGTTATTTTAGCACAGTTGTAAACAGAAACATTGTCAAAGTTGTAATGATCTTTAAACAGTGTTGCATATCACCAGATTTTGGAGCATGTATTTAAGTCATCTTAATTAACATCCTGACAAGTGTGTAAATCTACCACTAAGAAGTCTAATGTGCTCCGTGTCAAGGTCCGTGTGAAATGCAAACTGACACCTTGAAAGCCATCATAATTGACTTCTCTGTATTTTTTACAAATTTGGAGCTGGGACCAAGTTCAACTTGAGCAAGGGATCTTTCATAACCATTTAGTCAAAATCTCAATTTAAGTTTAGCAGCAGCAGAGTCCCCTGACATGATACTGGGGCATTTGTTTGAAATGTCTGGTCCAGAAAGAATAGTGCCACCTACTGGCCCACCAAAACGATCTGTACCTGTACCTGTAATGTCACTGTAATGTGACAGAAATGTTATACGTGGCTGTGTTTCTTAAGAGCTCTGATGCATGCTTTTTAAATCTCACACTTAGAATTTAGTGCACAAAATGGAGCTCCAGTGTATTAAATAACATTGTATGATGTTTTTCTGAATGATTTATGTTCTTCTTTATTAACAAATATAAAAAGTGGAATTGTATAGGTATCATTGTTTATTTTAGATTGATAATATAACTGTACGTGTTATCTTTCCATAAAGATTTTTATTTGCATCTTCTTCACCGTCCTAGAAGATGCTTTGACATTGCTGGAGATTGTTTCTTTTCAGAAAGGTAATACAAAGAGGCCTCATCACCATGTTCTAATGGAAAGCAACTTAGCAGAAAGCCAACTGAGTTACACTGCTATAAGTGTATTTAACTGATACCTTCAGAAAATCACTGTTTATATGAGAAACAGCACGACATCATGGAATAATGGAACTTATTCCTGTAAACATTAAAATGTATCTGAGTCATAGGCCCATTTGTTGTTAATATAGTGTTCATTTATTTGTTTTCTTACTCTTTAGTATTAATACATTTTTCTTGTATATGTAAAGACAAAATTGGTTTGATTCTGATCAAATATATAAATGTCTAAGATGTAGAAAGTTTTTAAACGGATATAAGCTTCCTCTATATACTTCTTGGCAAAGAATAGAAGAGCTATGTCACTGGAGCCTGTTGCTGAAACTGAAACGTGGAAGTTGATTAATGGAATAAGACCAACAGAGAACTACACAGTACAGACACAAAGGCAGTGAGAAAGCAATTTCAAAAGGCAAGAAATGTAATTGACAGAATTATTTGATCACTTGTATTTTTAAAAAAACACTTCCAATGAATAGAAAGTTACAACAGATCATTATATTTGATAAATATAATCTATAAATTCAAAAAACAAAATATCATCAAATCAAATTAAACCTTTAACTGAGTATTAAAATGTATTGGAGCTTGTATTTTCAACCATAAAGCTGACTGTTCTGCAATAGGGACATTTTGTTGTTTTATTGATTGCAAATAAAATTGTGAAGGTTGATTTTTGCTTTGAATCTAAACATTGCCTCCTCAGTATTCTCAGTTATTTATTAATTAATATTTGTTTAATAGTGTTGTTTATATATACACATGTAAGTATATAGTTAAGAAAAGTACTTAAAAAGTCAAGAAGTCACATTTGTAAGAGTGTTTCACACTTGAATTTAATTTGAAGTAAGACAAGTCATTGCAAGTATCAAAGAGGAAAGGTATGAATTTATTTCAATGTCGTAAAGATTCCCTTAATGGTTTTTGAGTCTTTGTACTTAAAACGTGACAGAAATTTCCTTTTGCAGAAAGGAACAGGAGGTTGATTCAAAAGATGCAATTATTCTCCATCAGTTCTCAAGGCCAAAGAATGGAGTTCCTAGTTTGTCACCATTTTGCTTAAAGATGGAAACTTACCTCAGAATGGTGGACTTACCTTATCAGGTATTATTTTCTTCTGCAGTTCTTCTTTCATTCCAGAACGTTGGTGGTGTTGGCAGCATGGTGGGTTTCCTTTGGGTGCTCCAGTTTCCTCCCCCAGTCCAACCTGACATTCTGGCAGGTTAACTGGATTCTGTAAAAAAAACGTACTCCATAAAGTAGGAAAGGATGTTAAGCCATAGCAGTTACAGCATTCAGCTCAGTGCATAATGAAGGCCACACTTTACTGCACTTTTGAATAAAATGTCTTATTAAACGAACTGAGAAAGAGTCACTCTAGACCCCTCCATACTAAGACACTGACACTATATGTACAGTATGTTGACAGAAACATGCAATTTGGAATGTAGCCTAAAAGAGCATTGTGTAGCTACCAGAGTAAAATGTTTTCATGCAGTGCGTACAATACACAGCATGGAGGAAGTGTGCATTAACACAGGTGCAGTACTTTTCATTGTCTTTACACTGTGACAGAATGCAAACAAATTTTTGTAGCATCTCTGAAATTAAACCTGAAGGGCTCCTGGACCATGGAGTCCAGTTTGGTCAATCCGATTTTAAATCACAGAATGCTTTGGGTGGAAAGTTCAATTTGTGAGTGTGCAAAGCTTGAAAAAACAATAGTGACTAAGAAGGTTGCATGCCAACTAAGTTTAATTATTTTATTTTTTTCAAATAATATGATCATCCTATGTAAACGTTCACTGTAATGATGAGCAATTGTTCCCTTTCCTTAGAATTACTTTGATGGAAAGCTTTCTCCCCAAGGGAAGATGCCATGGATTGAATACAACCATGAAAAGGTCTCAGGAACTGAATTTATCATAGACTTTTTAGAAGAAAAACTGGGAGTGAACTTAAATAAGAACCTGAACCCCCATGAAAGAGCTGTATCCAGGGCCGTGACTAAAATGGTTGAAGAACACCTGTACTGGTGAGTCTCGCTTTCTTTCTTGAGGCTTCAGTAGTTTGTTTCTCACTGTGCAGTGCTTCCAGTTGTTTAATATAAAGATGTGCTAGACTTGAATTACTTTCATTATTCATATTATTCAATTATAGTGTCAATTTTGGTTAAGTTAAGTCACTTGAAATCAAGGCATGTGAACTGCCCAAATTTAGATTATGTGCATTATGTCATGTAAGAGGAATTATGTGATGTTTATATGACATTTATTCAGTATTACAGTTTGTGACAAACACTACCTGTACATTCATCTCAATCTACACACATAAAAACTATGACCATCAAAACTCAACAAGAGTAGGACTGTTATCCCCGTGTCCTGGCTAAATTTCCCCCTGGCCTTTACCAGTCATGGCCTCCTAATAATGCCCATCTATGAGCTGGCTTCATCACTCTGTTCTCCTCTCTACTCAAACTAGGTGCAGGAGGCAAAAATCTAATGACTTTTTGCAGAATTTGAGGCCTTTGGCGGCCTCTAGTGGTAAATCGGCGGTAATTGCAGTCCCTTCTTAGGCTGACCTGTCGCGCTGTGATAGTATTATAATGTATTTTAGTTGTTAATGTTTTAAATTAAAACATTTCTTTGACTTTTTTCATTAAATTTATTAAAAAGTTTTATCAAGTAGAAACAGACTGAGAATATAAATCTTTCCACATGAATTCTGAATATACAGAACTGTGATATATTGATATGGAATGGATAGTGACTTCATGAGATAATCCATTGTAGATTATCAGACCAAAAGGCTACAAACCTTGTTCACAGAGATGAAAAAGAGTGCATACAATTTCTGCAGCGCATTCAGTTTTTAAAGTCGGAGATGATGGGATATTGTGATATGAGAATCTCTCCAAAATTGATCATATTCTATATAATAAAGCAAATATTGTTATGATTCTAACTATGATTCAGTTCTGTCTGGTTTATACAATTTCTGATTTGGAACATCAAACAAAAAATGAACGAGAAACAACTTTGCTGTTTCACAAAATCTTTTCACAAAAACTATTTATTAAATATACCTTTAATATTAAATGGACATTCATGCAGTGTGTCTGGCAGCTGCACAGGAAGAGTGATGGAACTTCCCACAGCAGTCTGTCCAGAGGCTGATCAGGTCTTTGTGTCACCTCTGCTAAAATTTTGATAATTCTTCTAAAGGTCATACCTGGAACTAACTTGGTAATATTTTAATTATGCCCCGTTTCAGACTAAAACCCTATAATGATTCACTGATCTATATTTGTGCAGGTGTGCGGGAGTTTTTGTTTTGAACATTTCTCCCATGTACCTGTAGAAAAGGTAAAGGTTTGTTGATGCTGAACCCGACCTTAAATAAAATTAGCCAGATTCCAATGCTTCAGATATTTTTGTGCTGCAAGCCTCCGAGAATTAAGGATTTTTATTGAAAGGCAGATTAAGATAAATTAAAAGAAGTTTTACATGATGATCCAAACCCCAAACACTGCCAGCAGCAGAGGAGTTAGTGAGTATGTCAGCCTGTCTGATCGATTGAATTTCTTCGTTTTCAATGACAGGACCATTGCCTACTGCCAGTGGGTGGACAATCTGCAGGAGACTCAGAAGATGCTGTCTGTCACGGGGCCTCTCAGTGATCTGCTGAAGTGGATCCTCAGCCACCTGACCCGAGGTATCGTCAAGAGGGAGATGTATGGTCATGGCATCGGGCGCTTCTCCCAGGAGGAAATCTACGCACTGATGGAGAAAGACATGCGAACTCTAGCAACCCTTTTAGGTGCGGGATTGGAGGAGTTGTGTTGGCATTTGTTTGACACGTCTTGGCTTTCAGTTCTATTGCTCATCGGGCCCACTTAGCAATTAGCAACTGATTCAGATTTAAAAAAAACAAGTAATTTGGTTCTTAGTCTAATTCGTTCAATTAACCGATTTAAGAAAAGAGTTAGACTAAAAACCAAAGAACCACGCAGTCCTTGAAGACTAGATTCGCCCATTCCTTGTGAAAACCATCAGACTCCAGGCTACAGAGGCCTTGATTTCAGCTGAGGTTAAGGCACCATACAGAAGCATGGGAGGAAGGAAGAGTTTTTATCTCCTTTTCTTTATCTGACAGTTACCTCAGTCAGAGCTCTCTTTATAGCCAGATAACAGTAGTTACAGTTCACATTCCCATGCTGTCTCCTCTCCCAGCAGCTGGATGACTTTCCATTCTTGCCTTTCAGGTCTCAAAACCTTCAGTTGTAACATCTCTTAGTCTGTGATGTAAATCTAAGTTGAGGTGTTCCAGAGAATGGTGTTTCCCACAACCACCACATTTGTGGGGATTTGTAGTCTTAGACATTGTCAGATTCTCTAAGACATATTGTTAGAAAATGAAGCATTTTAAACACAACTTGTCGAATGTAGTGTTAATTGTATTTTAAAACACCATATCTTGTGTTATCTTCTTCAGGTGATAAGAAATATATAATGGGACCAAAACTTTCTTCAGTAGATGCTACGGTGTTTGGACATTTAGCTCAGGCAATGTGGACACTACCAGGCACAAGGCCTGAACAGCTGATTAAAGGTAATACTCATCTTTTCATATTCCTTTACTAATTTACCAATGTCTTATAGAAACTACTGATTGGTCTTTTGTTCCTCTGTGATGAGTTTAAGGAATAGCCATGTCTGCAGTGCAAAAATCAGTGCTCTTTCTAAGATGTGATTTAATCATTATACATCTTCCAGTTATATTCTTGGGGTCAGAGGAACATCAGCTGCTGTTGTCTTTTGAATTTCAGATATTTAATTGGAAGTTTCAAAGAAGTATACCGTCTTTTGTTCTGTCATTCATATTTAATAAAGGATTAACGTATGTCAATAACTTTCAAAACTTTGTAAAGGCTTAGAATGTTTGGAGTGATTTAATTTGGTTTTCAAGCTATGAGTAGTTTTGTCTTTTTGCTTTCAATATAATGAACCAAATGGGTGTTTGTACGCTCTTGAAAAATAACTGAGAGCTAAAAGTCGCCCTCTTCTGGTCAACGTTGGGAATTACACTTGCCTTGCAAGTGCAAATCTGCCTCTTCTCCACAAGATGCTGCTGCTGACCTGTTTACCTGTTCACCCTTAGTGAAGCACTGAAAGGCATTGAAAAGCTTAACTTGAAAGATCAACCTCTTTTTTTAATAGTTTTTGTCATGGAAAATATAATTAAAGATCCACTGTTTTCAACCATTGTGCATTTCATTGTGTTTTGAAAGCAACACGTGTTGTTTAAAAAGACCAACAGTCCTGTCTTGTCTTTTTTTTTTCTTCGCAGGTGAGTTAATAAACCTAGCCATGTACTGTGAAAGAATCCGAAGAAAATTCTGGCCGGAGTGGAGTGATGACTTTGATTTTTATGACGAGACCAGTGAAGACAGCCTGACGCCAACACAACTCCATGAGTACGGCTTGTACTCCCGAACTGAAACATTCGAAGAAGAAGTGACAGAAAGCAGTCTGTCTTTCTCTCACACGCCAGACACAGACTATACCGGACATTCACTCTTTGACTCAGATGTTGAAATGGAAGAATTCACAGATCAAGAGCACTTAGATGGAGCGAATAAGTAATCACATGTACAGTAGGTGCAAGGTGCCGGTCTTTCAAGGATGTCAAAATGAATCATATGAGGAAACCATTCACTATAACAGTAAGGTAAATTAATGAATAACAGATTGCATAATAAGATTTCAGGATAAAAGGTGTTCAGATGGATTGAAAAACAGAATACAAGAGAGAAGAGTAACCACTACTGTTTTGATTTTACACTTATTGTATTCGGCTTCTTTCTAATGGTATGTGCTTGGACAACCTCAGTAAGGACCAATAACATATTCGGGTATCAGTGGTAAGACAGTTAAATATTTTAACTGCTATATTTGTTGGGTTTTTTTCCCACAGCAAAAAGCTACAGTATGTAACTTTAAATCCCAGACCCATCACTCTTTAAGCATCAGCCATTCAATGATTCTTAACATTCCATGAGTTCACATTAAAAACAGAGGAGCATGTGGTGCGTTTTATGTGCCACAACAATGCAGTTTTTGGAGAATAAAATATACACAAGGCAGCGTGTAGCTAGTCTCATTTTTCAGTGTCTGAAATTCCCCAAGTGCAGAAAGTTTCATTTTAGAAAGTCATCACAACACAACATTTGCTCGAAGAAATCTCTTTGATTTTTGTTTTGGCCTTCATAGAAATATTACCACTTCCTCTCTCTATATCCCATGTAAGTCGGCAACATATGGAAATAAATCTCTTATTTTAATTATTTTTAGGTTATATTAGCCAAAAAAAAAAATGACCATTTGGTGGACTTATTGTTCTCATTGACACTTGCTCTGTCAAGTGAGATTTTAAGAATTCTTGTTGAAATGAAAATGAGATCTCTATACAAATGAGACAAAGTACAATTGGCCGGCAAGACAAATTCGATTTTAAAAAGTTGGAAAATTATTACATTAAGTCAAGCTGAATGAAATTGCATTTGCTATTAAAAACCGGGAAAAGACATTGATTCAGCTGACATTAATGTGTCATTTGACTAATGATGGTGGCTTTGGAAGCACAGGTCTTTCTCTTTGAGCAATTTATACTTGCACAAGTGCTGTAGTGTCATCTGGGTAAATATATCATTGCTCTGTACTTTAACATTGGACCACATTGAGGTTTGTTGCCATATGTTTGACTTGGGGTAAGGAATGAGAAAGCCTCCTTAAAGAATTCAATTCACATTGTTACATCATGACTTGAGATAAGCTGGGATACCACTACCTCGTCACTTCACTTTTCATCTGGAAAAAAACAGGGACTCAAATTACTGCCTTTCTGTGTGTTTGAGATAGAAATGACTACAGTCTGCCTAGATTTTTTTTGTAGCAGATAAAAAAATGCATTTCCATAGTCTTCAACTTTGAATCATCATTAATGTATCATGTTACATATGTATGTAAAGAATTGCCTGTTCTGCCAAATGCAATAACTGTGTTTGTCTTCACTTTCTATTGACTACATCTTCAGTGCTGTGAATTGGTCAGGTCAGATTTCGACATCTGGAAAATGAATAAAGGTTACTCACTGGAGGTTTAAAACATGACTATTACCAATTAAAATACTCAAAAGACAGACATTCGAATGCACTCAGTGCAGATGTTTCAAAGTCACTGATCATAAATGTACTGGGTAATCCAGCTCCTTAAGGTTTCTCAATTGAAAAATTGAATTCAACATTATTTGTGCATTTGTGTCTCATAATATAAGATAATCAAAGTGCATGATTTGAATGAAATACAGTTATTTACATGTTTTTGCCTTAGTGAATAAGAAAGAAATCAAAAGCAACAGGTCAATGGAGAGTAAAATGTATAAACACGTCGCTTGAAGACGGGAGGACTGAGCCACTCCTCGTTTATTTATTTATGCACTTTGGAAGGGGAAATAGGTGAAACCCTGTTGTATAAATTGTATCATTTTTCTTTTCAGATGGTAAATGTCGTGGGTTCTGAATATTCTGTTGGAACCCTTAAAAATACCGTATTCAAGCTTGTATTTTATTTTGTAAAGTTTGCTTCATATGCTCAGTATACTCTCCAGTTACAGTGATGTTGCTGAACAGCAGCACTCTTTTAAAAGAACTTGGTTTTGGCGTTCACTTGTTTATGCGATTTGTTACTTAGCTATGCACATAGAATGCAGTACCAAATAAATGTCTAAATCGGTGAACTCAATAAAACCTATTATTTATATAGATTAGTAAAGCTAATAGCTCAGGTAAGACAGTTCAAGACTGAGCCGACGTACCAGAAATCTTTGATGAAATGTCTCAAAATGTATGTGTATTAAAGTGACTGTAGTAGATCAAAACAACATTACTGTCACATGAAAACTGTGTAACAGTTTAATTGCAGCTGAATTTACCTTTAATCTTGGTTATAAAAAAATATGGAAAGAGCAGTTTTTGAAATGTAAGAAGGGTGTGTCTGGCATGTGTTGAAAACATAACTGGGTTGTGTTGCAACATTTTGTGCTGAGTAACTCATTCATTTAGAAATCTGCATAAGACATTCTGAGGGTCCTGTTTTTAACACTGAAATGCGGTGACCTGTCTGATTAGAACTTAATTAGATATGTACTCTTTTGTGACCATGGACATATCTGTACAACTAGTTTATAAAGCCATATTAAAGATTTTACATCATATATGTTTAACCTTTTATGGAACTCTGCACTATAATGGGAAATGTACATAATGTGTCCAAATCTATACATTAGTCTAAAGTACTGTAAGATATGACATACGTATGATTTTTGATGAATGTATTCACATATGTGTAAGTTATTACTCTGACAAAATAATTCATTAAATATAGCTGTGATACTTCTGCTCACAATACATCATTTTATATAACTATATATGCAACAGTTAGGTTTATTCTCATCTACTGGGGTTTTAGATTAGGTTCTCAATATTAACAAATGAGGGAAAAGCTATCTGGCGGCACACTGAGACCTCGCAGGGCTGGGCCCTGGGTTCAAGTCCTGGCGTGCTGTCTTGGTGCAGTTCTATTATTTTCTCCCCCAGTTTCCTCCCACAGGCCAAATGTCCATCAGTAGGTTATTTGGCTTTTGGAAAATAAGCCCTGCCGTGGTTGTGTGTGTGTTTGTGCCTGTGTGTGTCCTGCAATGAAGAGGCGTCCTTCCCAGGTTGAATACTGCCTTGCGCCACTCCACCACCACCACTGTGATCGATGATGCAAAAGCCAGTGCACTCCCCACACACCAGCTATCAGTGAGGTGGAGAACAGAGCAATGCAGCCAATTCATAGATGGGAATAATTAGGAAAGGTCAAGGGGAAATGTATGTAACACCCTTACTTTTTTAAAGAAATACCCTGGGATTGTTAATGAGTCAGGACCCCGGTTTTACATCTCATCCAAAGGACAGTGCCTTTCTACAGTATAGTGTCCTCATCACTGTACTGGGGCATTAGGACCCACATGGTCTGCAGGGTGAACACCCCCTACTCATCCCACTAACATCTCTTCCAGCAGGAACTTTGGTTTTTCCCAGGAGGTCTCCCATCCAGGTGCTGACCAGGCTCACACCTGCTGAGCTTCAGTGGGCTGTCAGTTGTGAGTTGCAGGGTAATATGGCTGCTATCTACTATGACCCCATATTGGATGGGTGGATGAATGGAAAAGGTACATGGATAAATTAATGTCATACATTGCACATTTATTATTAGTAACAAACATAAATACTGTATGTTTTGCTCCATTACACAATATGCCTTTTAAAGTGCATTTTGAAAAATCAGTGACTTGCTTTATTCCTTGTCGGATTCAGAAGGCAAGGATTGCAACTGATGTTTAGGAGAAGGAAGTCCGACTGAAATGAGGCATTAAGCATGCATCATTTTTAAATCCAGGACAAACGCATAACACTCATTGTATCAGTAGGCAACGTGTTGTTTGTATTTCTAAGTAAATTAAATAAAAATGGTGTTGTGGGCAAATATGTATTGACATTACGATTTATTTTAAAAGTCCTACAAATGACAGATTTCATTGGTAAATGTACTAGATTGTCCAATGAGCTGCTAAGTGTGTACATCTAGCAATTAAGTAAAAAAAGAAATGAGGTAAGTCTGTACACTTACTGTATCACCTTAATGCGTCTAATAGGCTATTCAGTAGAAGATATCAGGGTTGTGGGAGTCTGGGACAAGAACATCACTTGTTTTGTCACCCAATACACTGCCTTTCTTAGATATCTTTGGATCAATTAGTTACTAGTACCAAATGGGCTTGATGTACTAAGTAATTATTGTTTAAATGATATCGGACATTTGGTTTGGATTTCACCTCAAACAATACTAACTGCTGTTTGGTGGTAAATATACAATATAATGCATATATATACACACTATGTATATTTACTTGGTATACACACTGTGTATACATTCCTTGGTTATTTATAGAGTATCCAATGAGACCGTAATTCTGTACCCTTACTAGTTAGTTTAGATGTACACATTTACCTTAAATATATAGGAAAGAAATATGTTAAATCATGTATATTTTTCCCGTCTTTACAAATGATTCATATGCCATATATACTTGAGGTTCACTCTTTAACTTAGTGAACAGGATTGGCAATTTTGTTTTCCATGGAAAAATCTCCATAGTGTTAGTTGTATAATTCAAGAAAAGATCGACACAATTCACAAGTTTTAATTTATGTGTCTTTTAGTCTTCATCAAGTATTAGTTAAAATACTTGTTCTCTGTTTGTACACCATATACTAGCAAATCTGACCTGTGTAAAATGACTGTAAGAATTTTCCTTCCTCTGCCTCTTAAGAAGATTTCTGAAGCTCTAGCGATGAGGTTACAACACTAAGCCTTTATATCCAAATATACCAAAAACTAAACCAAAGGTTTATTCCAACTCTCCTCGGTGCTCCCCAATTCCCTTGAGGAATCTCTGGCTAGAAATCAAACTCTGCCTTCACACCTAGCTAGGCTCCGTCAGAAAACCATTTGGTTTGTAATTTTCTTCCCGGGACAATGATTTTATCTGTAGCCCCTGGGACTTAAAAATGACAGTTAAAAACTGTGGAGTTCAAATGTCTTGAGTATGATGGGAAAAACACCACAATGTGTGGTGGCCCATTAAACATTGTATTACTGAATATAAGACGTTTTAATTACAAACTTTCTTTTATAACAAAACTAAGCATTTGTAAACAGTAAGTTAGAGATCAAACTCTCTATTGATTAAATAAAAATCAGTTATCCTGCTGCATCTAATGTATATTTATATACAGTACAGTACATACAAATAGGCCTTGTAAAAAGAACAGCCCTGTGGTTTTCGTATGACTGAATCTGTTATTCCAGTGAATTCTCAACAACACAATCATACAGTTTAAACCCATACTGCTGTAGGTGGCCCAGAGATGCTGCAGAGAGTGTCAAGCCAAGTTCACTGTTCTCTTCCTTAAAAGCATTTTTAAATAATAAGGGTTTAAATAATCCCCTTCATTTTATGCTTTGGATCATACTGAAAAATTGAATGCTATTCTTTTCACCTTTTTAACTGAAATGTTTTCTCTTTGTGTTTTAAATGCTGTGCTAACACACAGTTACAATATGCTGGCAGAACTGTTAGCTCTCAGGATTGGTTTTATGTAATGCACACATACTGTAGAACACTTTTATGTACTTAACCACTCAATGATGTAGTTGGTAAAACCTTTTGTTGTAATTGGTATACCTGTACATCAATTTATGTTTTATCAACATGCTAGATAATGAACTACATTTATTAGTTATTATTATATAATCAATAATAATAATAACAACAACAACAATTATTAATAATAATATTTTTAGTTTATATAGTATATAGTATCATAGTTATAATAATATGTTCAGTTTTGGCAGGGGGTTTTGTTCATACACTGAACATACAGTTGTATGTGGATGCAATGAATATTCAATAAGCCAACAGTTTACAACAGCCAACAAATTCAAAATTTAAAATGATAGTGTGCCCAATTTTCACTAAATAAATATTTTATCCACTTTTTTAATGTAAGGTTGAAAATGTGAAGTAAACAATGACAGTGGCCATTTGTAGTTTAAACATTTGTATTTGGACTTTGGTGTGGTGCAGAGTGTTGTAGTCATGTGGCATATAAGACATAGGTATGCAATGCATTCAGTTCTACTCCTGGGAGTTTTTATGCAAGGGGTTTGTATGTTTACTTTAAATTACCCCAAATATTTTTCCAGGCCCTCTATTTTATTTCCACTTTCCAGAAACCTTTGAAAACTTTAAATGATTCATTCCCTGAGGGAGAGAGCTCTTAATAACTCTACCCTGTTATAGGTGTCTCTGTTGTCTGTCTGCCCTGTATTCATTAAAGAAACCACTAACATTACATACATAGAGAACATTTTTACCCCTACTAAATTTGTTGATTTTTTTACAAAGATGAATAAAATCCTCATATCTAGAGGTAGAGACTATAGGAATATAAAAATAGAAAAAAACAATAATGTTTTAGTTCACTGCAGTACAGTCTTGAATAATGGCCTAAAATGAGTTAAAAAGGAACATAAAGTACACCACAGAAACCCTTCAACATCATCCTGCACATGAGGCTGGTCAGCTTGGTTTTAGATTGAGGGTATGTAGTGGGAGCTTTTCCTTAAATTATAAATAAGCTCCATTCATTTAATAAAAGTGCAATAAGGGACACAGGATAGCATTCCAAGCAATTCTGCAATATGGAAACAATCCATCAAACAAAGAATCTTCAGCTGCTTTCCAGCTAACATCTGGTCTTGTATGGACTCTCTGTGCACCATGCCAAAATTAACATTCTCTCAGATCTCAATCCGATCTTAAATAAGCCATTGATAAACAGACTCTTTGAACAGGAGTTTAGGAGTTTACAGGAGCAAGCAGGAGAAGAGATGAATTCTTATGTATGCAAATTTAACTATCATAAGACCCACACCCTTTTTAATGCTCTGAGGGTGGGCATGTGGAAAGCACTGCATTGCACAGTGTTTTGATAGTCATTTTCTGTGTGGGTTTACCTGTTCTCTTCTGGTTATCCAGTGTTTGGACACAATCCCTGATGGGTTCTTCACTGACTTCAAGGCGTTAAAGTGTCATTAGTGACCAGTCCCTGACAATCAGAAAATATAGCTGTATACCTGTCCTCTGTCACTTATTTTCCTGTGTTTCTGCTCAGCCTCTTAAGGATTCACCCACCACATTCCACAATGTTTTGAGCTACTTAACAATGTATAGGTAAGATCCCTCCACATACAGTAGTTCAGTTAGTACAGGCTTTATAAAACTAAGAGTGAAAATTCTGAAATGTCTACATCTAGACAGGTAGAGACTGAAATGTTGCATACAGGAAGCCTGGGGCCATGACTATGATTGAAAGTCTGTTTTTTAGGATGGTTTCTGAAGTTCCTGAAGAGTGCAGAAAAAAGAGAAACTTGTGGGAGGAATTAAGTGTGACAAGCCTTAAGTAAGCAGTAAGACACACTAGGTTGCAGGTTGTGCTTGAATGACAGCTTGCCCAAGGCTACAGGAAGGCATGGGGCAACACTTCATATCTGTTAAACATGAAATCTCTGCTTTTCTCATGGTGGTTAATAAAAAAGGTAGAG